TTGATCGTAGCTGCTTTAGTGTGTCCTTGTAACGACTTGATCTCTTGTGCAACGTCATAGCATCAAATCGCGTTGGGTTTGTCGATAACTTTAAGTGCGTATTATTTAAAATAGAATTTTTTTGCAAATCATTTTTTTATTGTATAGTTAATGAAATGTTCAGTGTTGCATCCTTTTCGCTTTTCAATAATTTTACCATGAAATGGGAAAAATCGGAAATAAATGCTCGAAATTTGTCGAAGTTCAATATTTCAAGTCGATTGTTGCTATTAAAATGGGCTACCAGCCAATAAGTGGAATACCCATCGCGTAGCATTTCGGGCATTCGACACGCTTACTTGACGAGATTAGTATTATAAAATAATGTGTTGACTTCAGAACCGAAGGAAACCAATGAATCTGTATACCATATGACCGTTAAAGTCTTTTATAGCTATGCTTCTACAATAGATTTTTGCCATCAAATTACATAACTTACTCTAACGGATGTGATTTTTTTAGCTCTCCATTGATGGATCATGTTGCACAACGAGTCGGAGTTCCAACTATCCCCAGCTATATTCCACGTACGTTCTTTTAGTTAAACTATTCATGTATTAGGTTAGTAGAAAGATAGTTTTGATAAATTTGGCCTCCCAGTTGGATAATGATGGCGCTTCATACCTTATACATGAAAACGGAATGAAAAACCATTTGAAAAAGCCATCTCAATTAATTGCACCTTTCCTAGACTCAATGATTGCTTTTCACAATACATTATCATTACACATATTATTATAAACTTGGACAGATGCAAAACAGAGAGTAAGATGTATTCAAAATATGCGATTAGGGATACTGTCATTTATTTTCAATAAATTCTTCAAACTCGCTTAATTGCTTATAAGTACAAACTTGACTTTGAACTATGTTTTTTGGTTAGGTTTGTCGTAAAAACAACATTTTGTGCCTTTGAAAATAAAGGAATATGTGTGGAATGCTTTTATTCATACAGCCCGAAAATCGCAGTTTTGATAGAGGTACATCTAGTTACTTGGCGATTCATTACGGTTCATATATCTTTGGTTCACTGAATGATGCGCATGGCTCGTACAAAGACATAAACTTAGGAGGGCAAGCTGGTTCGAAGTTGTAGAGCGCTAACCTATGTTCTGCTGAAAGTTGAGTATGCAAATACAAATTGGCATACTACAACTTCAATTGTATTTGCATTTTCTGCAGAATTTGAATTGAGCAATTTTGATGTTCATGGAATGAAGTGCCAGAAAAATAAGCTTGTAGGACACTTCTTTTTTTCTAAAATTTTTAGAAACTAGTTTTTCCTGAAACTTCACTCCCT